AACAACAGAGTGCCGCATGTGGTCTCAGTATCAACTACAATAAGACCAAGGTCATGATCGTTGATAGGAAATATGGCAATCATCCTGAAATAACATCAATAGGCCGTTGTCAGGTAGTCCAGAGTTTTGTAAACCTCCATTCTGCGCGGTTGAAATATGTCGGCGCATCCAACAGGTACGGTCAGCCATGACGAGACTGTAGTAAGGGGATGATTTTCTACGGGATGTTGCAGGAGTAAATTGATTTCAGACAAGATTATTAGCATTTTTCTACAGAATTGGGAGCAGACTACATAAGTTTGTAATCATAATTGAAGCTAGCCACAGACCAGCATATATGTGCGTCATACATGTTTGTCGTAAGCGCCTGGGCGTTCATGTTTGCCTGTGTGTGGGCAAAAATCTGCAAGCATGTATTTCACACAAGTTTTCTGATCTCACCAGAATGCATGCACGCGCAAGCATGTACTCGCATACAAGAGTATCGGTGTGTGGCCCATGTTCACTCTGAATTTGCACAACATTGTTAGTACAGTGGCTCGTAATCTCACCCGCAATGTACTTTTATTTTTTGAAATTATATTTTAAAGTGACATGAATCTTGAATGTTGTTCCTATCGGTTATTGTTATTTTCTAATTTATGCATATAGTCTTTAGTTGATAAAGTGTTTCCATTCGGGCTAGATGGCCGTCGTAAGTTGGAATTTCTTCTCAAGTACTGAGAAAGTTCAGATTAGCCACGTGGTGCGAAGCCCCGCCCCTCCCCCACCACAACCACTCACACATAAATACAACTTGCATTCGGGAACGCATCAGTCTGCTATCAGAATCGCACATGGAAGGATGCTAGGATCAGCTTTGATGTCGTGTCTCTTTGCTTTGCAAGTGTCACATTTAAAAGGATGCATATCCGAGTGTGTTAACATGTGCTTCTTCAAAACACATTTTGTTTTAAATTTTGCTTTGCAAGTGTCACATTTAAAAGGATGAATATCCGAATGTGTTAACATGTGCATTTTCCAATTGCCTTTTCTTTTAAATTTTGCTGTGCAAGTGTCACATTCAAAGGGACGAACTTCATCCGAGTGTGTTAACATGTGCTTCTTCAAAACGCCTTTTTCTTTAAATTTTACTTTGCAAGTGTCACATTCACAAAAGTGCCATTAACGGAATCACTTGACTTGATATCAAGTTCCTTCCCCAATGATATAGTTGAGCTTTTCCGGACATGTCACACTGATAGTTACTTCCTGTGGAACGGCGATTTCTACGAGCAAACGGTGTAGCTATGGGAAGTCCGCTCAAGCCGGTCATAGCCAACTTCTTTATGGAGGATTTCGAGAGGAAATCTATCGGATCTTTTGACCACAAACCAACGGTATGTAGATTATACCTTTGTGGTTCGAAGTCATGGGGAAGAGAAGCTTAACTAGTTCCTAGGCCACCTGAACGCTAGTATACAATTTACCATGGAAAAGGAGAAAAACCATGCCTTCTTAGATGTACTTAGAAATCTGGAGGAAAACTAAGCCACACAGTGTACCGAAAACCCTCACACACAAACAGCTAGCTACATGCACTGTCAAACCACCATCCAAGGCAAAAACGTGGAATCATAACAACGTTAACAGAACGTGCTCGGAACATTTGCGAGCCACAACATCTCGAGAAAGAACTGGATCACCTCAAGTCGGCCTTTCTATCAAATGGATACAATGCATCTGAAATCGACAGGGCCATGCGACCCAAAACAGCCACACGACAAAACGTGGATGAACAACCAGTGGTGGCTAATGCATATCTGCCTTTCGTTTCTCGGGTGACAGACAGGATAGGGAAAGTCTTGAAGAAACACAACATAAAAACGATCTTCAAGCCAACAAGGAACATACAGTAATCAATCAGATCAGCCAAGGATAAAAGGAACCCACTGTCAAGCGTCTATCGTATACCATGCACCGGTGGTAAAGTATACATAGGAAGAACAAAAACATCTATGGGAACCAGGATTAACGAGCACAAAAGAAACTGCAGACTAGGACAATCGAAAAATGGGCAGTAGCGGAACATGCGCTTGGTGAAGGGAATCACGAAATACTCTTTGGTGAGGTCAAGCTTCGTGCACCAACTTCTGGATACTACAATCGTCTTCTACGTGAAGCTATAGAAATCCACGAATATACGGACCTTCAACTTCAACAGGAAAGAAAAAACACTAAAACTTGTCCAAATTTGGAACACGATCCTCAAAAACGCAAGATCCCATTGAGTACAGAGAAAGTTCAGATTAGCCACGTGCTGCGAAGCCCCGCCCTTCCCCCACCACAATCACTCACACATAAATACAACTTGCGGTCGGAAACGCGTCAGTCTGCTACCAGCCAGCGTATATTTTGAGCGTTTTAAAAGCCAATCTTTGACCCATTTTGTTCGAATTTTTGGCTTTTAAACAATTTTTTTTTTTTTTTTCAATTAAAACAGATTACGCCGCTGCCGGTAGATTAAATTCGTCATCACTGTTCATCGTGTACTTTCATACTACTTGTGTGACAAGCTAGTGTAGAGATCTGTGGATGAAAAGCGCTCGTTATACATGGACGAAACACATGTATCACGCACTTGTATGTCTAAATACTACAAGACCAACTAAAATATGGCGTGAAAATCATATCACGAAAGCCGCCAAAATGTCGATTATCCGGTGTCTTGTCTTTTCCATATTTTTGTATGGCTCGGAGACTTGGAGACTGTTAGAGAGGCAGATCGTCATAGACGCACCTGAAATGTGGACTTGGAGGACAATGCTTAGAGTTCCATATACAGATCACCGAACTAACGTCTCATATTAAGCGAACTCGGAAACACAAAACGACCATTCTCCATTGTTTCAACGCGTATCCTGACATTCTTTGGCTATATCCATAGAAGTGATACCTTCGTCGCCCTGGTCACCCATACTCATATTTCCATAACAATGACAAAGACAGAGCAATAGTTCTTGTGAGAACGCTGTTCCCCGGTTTCGAGAATAAACACCCTGGAATGTGTCAATGACAGGACTTCTAGACCGAAAAATGCCAGCAGATGTCATCTATCTTGATTTTGCCAAAGAGTTCGACAGGATACCTGCATGGAGCATTTTGAAATGAAGGGAAAATTGCTGGATTGGGTCAGGGATTATGTCTCAGACAGACAGTTCCAAGTCAGAGTTGCTGACTATCTTTTCGTGCTTAGCGGCTCAGTACTTGCATCACTGCTCTTTGTGTTGTACATGCTGGATCTACTGGACCTTATAAAGTCCTCGTACGCTAGTGCTGATGACATACAGATCTACAGTCCTGCCCCTGACTCAGCCGCTCTCCAAGAATTAAGGTCTTCTTGGTTTATGAGTGGAGTGAGTACTGGCAACTTCTCCTAAATGTGGGCAAGTGTGTCGTATCGATGCCATTGTGTTGTCAAGTGTTCAGCAGCATAACGATCTTGGCATTCTGGTATCAAGTGATCTTTCGTGGGGCGGAAAGGTCGGCAATCCTCCAGTTCTCACTTAGGACATTTTATGAGTTCACAACATATCTGGCAAGACATTGTAACTATGGGGATGATGAAGGAACAGAATTTAACAAATCGCGTCCTGGTAGTTGAAAATGAAAAAGAAAATTAAACCTATTTTAGGTAAAATGGAAGTTTTCTTGGCAAATGTGAACTTGATATCCACGGTATGTGCTTTTTGTTGCCTTGGCACCACGATTGTTCAGATTTCAGACAAGTTAATTCTTGATTATCTATTTTCCCTCGTTAATAACATAAGGAAATCGTAAATGATTGTATTTTTTGGTATTCGTAATAATATGCTAACAAATGAATTAGTAGTAGGTAATTTGTAATACATATTGCTTTTTTACAGTGAGAATTATTCCCTAAAACAAAAACAGAACAGAGAATCTGAGAGTAGATAAAAAATTGAAATCTGATCCATAAAACCAAAGAAACTTTATCGCTGTTTCAAATGTAAAACGTATACGTGCCTTTTGAGGTCGAATATGCAAATGCAGATAACTTCTCAAGTCTTATGATGCTTTTTACTAAATATGCAAACTTCTTTTTCGATGCGAGTTATATTATAAAATTCTATATTATTATTATACCAATAATTCCCCCTTTCAATGTTAAACATAAGCCTACGCCACTGTAAAAGCCCACGATATTATAAAGATGCTGAGTAAGGGATACTGCCTGGAAAAGTACCTTCATATGAAGGTTTCGCCCACATAAATGCAAGCATCAGCAGTATTCTAATATAAATACGGCGCACAGAGCTCGCTGTATTGATTCTCTTGTTTTTAGCTTAGACTATAGCAATTGGAATCAAAGATTCTTTTGTTCTCGGCTTTTACCGCAGCAATTTAGAGTCTAGTATTTTTTGTTTTTAATAAAATAAATAGTTTTTTAAAACAAAATTTACTGAACGAAAAATATAATTAGCGTCTTTGATACAAACCAATGATAACAACCAAAAGTCTTTGGAGAAATTAAACTCTAATAATTTCCAGTTTCACTTGACAAATACATTGAAAATACTGAAAATTGTCCTTGTACTTTTCCAAGGAGCAATAAAAATTTATTGCACTTCGATTTTTCTTGTAGAACTCTTGAAAAATTTACTTCAGATAATTCCTGCTGCGCATTTTCTCCGCCATACATTTTATTCACAAATTGTATCCACAATAGACTTGGGGCCAATAAATAATAAACCAAAATATATCAAAGAGTAAAAATATATTTCCTTAGAGCTTTGTTCCCAGAAAATTGCCATTAGTCATGCAAGCTTACTCATTTTGATATTAAATTTACATAAGCACCTTTTTCCTTGGCCGGTTGCTGAATAAAATTGATGGTGTATATTGTATTTCCTAGGGAATTTAGGCATGTGCGTCCTTGCGTGACCGTTTTTACCTTAATGTATATTAGAATAATTCTTATAAAAAAAAAATTGTTTCAGGTCTTTGTGGTTCAACACGTTGACGTCTGCATGTTTAGCAATGGCAAATTCAAAAATGTCGTAGCCATGCTCAACGATAAAGAATCATGTCCTATACCCACTAGCTGTACCCTCAATAAGACTTACACTCTGCTTCCATTGAATAGCTCTACGAAAAATTGGATAGCTTTGGAAGATACTTATACCAAATCCAGTTCTAGCTTGGCTAGTACTGTATGTTCTGTCACTGGAAATGCTGAAGATAGAAATGTTTTTGCTATTTATGTTTCTTATTATGTTAAAGGTAAGACAATTTTTTGTTCTCTCATAAAAGGAATCTTATTCACAAAAGTTTTTTTTGCACGAAAAAAATTATTACCAACTAATAAAACGAGACAATTGGAAAATGGCAGAGATTCCATGAAAACATCCAATTATTGAAATCATATGTTTTTATTGAGTCTGAGATTGGCTTGATATAAAATTTCTTTTTCTCGATTAGAGACAATCTTTTTTTATAGTAGGGTAGAAAAAAAATATCTTATCAATACAAAAATTATTTCTCCAGTTAAACTTCTTGTAAGCGTAATGGGAGGTGACGTCAGCTTGAAGCTGCCCTTCACTCTAATGCACACCTGCAACGATTATGACGGTGAAACCCTGACAAAAGTAAAAAAAATCGAAACCGATCAAATACCTCACGTAAAACAACCGCAAGGACAAAGTACCACCAAAGACGACATAAAACCCGAGAAACATGGGACATGAGAAAAGGAAAAGGTAATTAAACTCACTACATTGATCATCAATAATTAATCAGGCTTTTTTCAAATAGGTAGTGGTGGAAATCAACAAAACTGATAATAAATCTCCTACCAACACCAAAGAACGTACACTGACAGAATCTGAAGTTCCCAAAAGGCCTAGCACATTGCACCTGTGCAAAAATGGCGCTACTGATGATGCGGATAAAGAAAAACACCATCAAAACCTGGACGAAATAATCATCATGGGCAAATCAGACTCTGAAGTTGAAAATTTATCCACAATAATCAAGCAAAACGGCGCTCAGCATTTGGACTGTCGACAAACCGGTGTCGGGGAAAATCACGGCGCTTTCTTTAGTTTAAGTCGTGCGTTTTGCTGTTTAAGAACTAGACGCAGCTCATAGCGTCACAAAGGTGACGTTTATGTGGTCTAAATGTTTTTCTGTATAGTGTTTGTTTTAAGTCGCTAAGAGTATACAGGGTGTTGAAAAGTTTTGAAAATAGAATCCGCTGGTTGGAATTCAATCTTCTGTATATGTACATGAATAATCTGCAGGTCATATTGTATTTAAGGCTGTATTTTTAAGATGGAAAATAAATTATTCTGTATAATATTTATGTAAGAACATATACCTAGTTTTAGGTGTAACAATTGTCACCAGGCAGAAGTTTCTTTGAATATTCCTATGAATCTATGAATTGTTCCAAAATGATCTCAATATAACTTCAATTTACATTCATGTAAATACATTTCTTGCAATCCCTATTTTAGGAAAAAAAAAGCTCATTCTGGCAGAACTTATATGTTTTTGGAATCACTTATTTCAAACTATTACACTTTTGTCGTCTATATTGATTATAGATAAAATAAAATTGTGTATATTATTCCTATCAACAAAGTGTTTTCTAGTAATGTACCTAAAAAGCTAATTTTATATACCGAAAAATTACCTATTTAAAAATAATATTGTTCCAAGTTAAATATAGATATTATAATAAGTAATTTTGACGAGTATTTCAATGTGTTTTATTTGAATTATGTTTATTAACTTGTAGGTATTCCAGTTTCTATCTCATTTATTATGATGAACTTATAGGTGTGGTAAGCTGTAAGAAATCTCCAATAAATAAAGCCTCACTTGGGGCACTGCCTACAACCCTAAACCAAATTTTTGCTAATATAGTAAAAGTGAGACAGTCATGCTTTTAAAGTTTCCTTTTTAGAATTTTCAGTATCTATTTAATTTTAAAATAACTTACCATGATATCCACATTCAGCATATCCACGTACAATCAGTTTCTCTCCAGCACCATTGCAGCCGACTTTAATGAGGATGTATTTGAAGGTGCCATTCGGATCGATATCGACGTTCTTGATTTCGGGAATAGCGGATGAAGCCATTTTTCTTAAATGTTGATATCCCGCTGTAATACCGGCTCTAATCATCAATCAACTAGGTTACTATTACAAAAAAAAAAGAGAAAACAATGTGTAGATGATTAAAAAAACAAAAACTTGGAAATTTTTTGTTAGTTCTTCTAGGGTAGATAGGTGATACTTTTTCCTCGACTTTTTCATCTGAAAACAGTTCAGGTTTTGAGGGAAGAAGGACCATTTCTTCAAAAAAAGTACATGAATTACAGAAATCCCATGATTTCATGACAAACTGCGATTTTCAGATTGAAAAATTAAAATTAAACAGTAAAAAAGGGTCATTCACAAAGGGATATCCCATGTATGTACACCCTGAAGAAGATATCCAAAACTCTTCAGGGAAAGCTAGGGAGGTTTGGGAAAATCTGGCTTAGCAAAAACACGGATTTTTCAAAATTGTTGTTAGGTTTTTGTGTTCACTCAACTTGACAAAATTGTATAATTTATTTATTGGTTCATTAGCATACATTATTTTTTTAGTTATGTTACTACTATTTGGTAGTTATCTCGAGAAAAGTTCCTTTGTATTATCAGATTTTGTGATTTGCTTATATATCCAGATATCTCAGATTCAGAACAATGTCATGTGTATTTTAAGTAATTGGACAAGATTTTGAAGATTATAGAAATGAAATTTTCAAGAAAAAGTTTCAGATTCTGTAGGCCCATCTTATTTTGATTTTGTCAAATTTAGAGCTAAAATACATTTCAACTATCAGATTCTATGATTTGCTTCAGATTTAGAGAAAATTTGAGAGGAAGCTTCATTGGCTCATAACTTTTGGAGCCAAGTTTTGAATTCCTCAAATCCAGAGCAAGAAATTTGACGTCGTGATAGTTATTTATGTATCAAGGGAATTATGAGGGTGTTAATACCCCAGGGCTAAGTTTGTGTTACCAATTGCCCGTGGGTATTAACACCTGATAATTCTCGTGGTACTTAGATAATTTTATTTCCTACTGAATTTACTGTATTTTGTCCATTTTTATAAAGGAATAAACCATAAACCAAATTTTCTATTTTTTCACAAAGTTTGACCTATTCAAGGTAAAAGCGGGAGTTATGAAATCCTTAACTCCCTTGGGAGTTAAGACCCTGTTTATGATTATCGTTACCAAGGTATTATATGGTTATAATAGTTCAGTAGGAAATAATAGCTATTTATGTACCAAGGGGATTATGTAGATTATAATGCCCGAAGGCGAAACTAGCCCGAGGGCCTATGGCCCGAGGGATATATTTCGCCTGAAGGGCATTATAATCTTGAAATCCCCGTGGTGCATACAATGCTTTATTTTCTACTCAACACAATGTTTTTTCATCAATTTGTTATTAACAAAATCAGTTAAACTTGTGTGACAGAATATTGTTTTGTATTTTGACATGTACCTGTACCTGTGACCTGTACCTGTACCTGCGACCTGTACATAGAAACGAAATAAATTAATATATCTATAAACATCTCATAAGGCAAGGCAACGGTGGTGGTCCTGTGGGTTAACGCGCTGGACTACATGGGAAACATTGATGGTAGACCGGGTTTGAATCCTGGCTAGACCGAAAATTATTTTCGGTCAGACATTTAGTGGCTGCCTAGGGTAAAGTGCAAATTAATAGAACAACAACAACAAAAACACCTTAAGGTATTATAAGCGGGCGTTATAGATCATAACGCCCGCAAAAGCGGGCGTTATGGATCAGGTTGTTATAGGTGTGTTAACGTATTTCGTTTCCTAGGTATTATGGATCTATAATAGTAAAGTAGAAAATAAAATAGTTTTTTTCTCTTCACTGCTCTCATTTCTCATTCCAATGGTACACAATTTGAAACCAATAAATTATGAATATTCAAAACAAATTCAAGAACCTGGAATAGGAGAATTACTTTAATAATCCAGCTTATTGTTTTTACCCAGTGAAATTCTCTATCTATTTATTGCTATTCATCCTACCTTTATTTTTCCTTCGAATTCATTTCCAGATTCTGTGATTTGCTTACATGTATTCCCAGATATCTCAGATTCAAAGCAAAGTAGTAGTATGCATTTTAAATAAACAAGATTTTGAAGAATCTACAAATGAGATCATCAAAAAAAATTTTTAGATTCTATAGGCTCATCTTCTTTACAGCTATTTCGATTTTATCAAATTTAGAGCTGAAATACAGCTCAGATTACGAAGATAGAGTTTTTGAGCAGTTTAACAATTTTTGCCACTCGAATAATGATCATTCTCAAAAGGTCTTTCATCACATTTTCGAAACAATCTGAAATTGGTGTTTTGTGCATTTCAGCAAGTAAAGATGGAAGGATTTGTTTATGTCAATATTATTATACGTAATTGATGAATCATCACTGAAGTAAGAAAAAAAGGTACCAGGCTAATATAAACAAGCTATCGTACCTTTGTTTTCTTATCTATTTTTATATTCCTCATTCACCAGTAGACTATCGTGGAAGAATGAGCTATTGAAAAAATAATAATTACCTAAGCTATGATCTAACTGCCCTTCAAATCAGAACTTTGGTAAGCTACTTCTAGTTGAGCATCATTGGTATTAGACTTTAAGCATTTGACTGTAGATGTTTTCAATAACTTCCTCTTAACAATTGAAGTTACGTTTCACTGATATCCAGAGCAACAATAATCATGGTTTGATTATTTCTTTTTGGTAATTGGTGTCCCCCGGGAAAGCCGTTTGCCATAATAGGTTAGGATCTCATTTGTTACACGATTATACTATTAAAGGTAAGTGTAGCAGTGGGGCACTACCGAATACCGGTGAGAAATTGTTGAATTATGATTTGCTGTTGGGTGTCAGGTCAGCTGCACAACGTGATTTCAAGTGAATTCAGCCTAATGGGGCTTTAATAGAATAGCTGTGTGTGTACTGACCCATATTTTCAATGGCAAAAGTCTTTGAAGTATGTAGAAGGGATAGGTTGTTAAACTTCATAGATAGGAATAGCATCTTATCTCCTAATCAGTTCGGATTTAGAGAGGGTAAATCCTCGGGTAAATCTACTGAAGAAGCGCTGTTTGAGGTTACAGGTTTCATCTAAAATGCTATTGAAAATAATCAGAAACATATCGCCATTTTCTTAGATTTGGCGAAAGCCTTTGACACAGTTTCTTATACGCTCATATCAATATGTTGCTGAAGGTGGAACCATGTTTTTGTACTGAAACCTTAAGTAAAACAGCATGTATAAAGTACTTGGGTATATTTATTGATCAAAACATTAAATGGGAAAAACACGTAGAAAGTATAAGTTTAAAAATTCAAATTTATAAGTTTTATCAGCCTAGAAACTGTATGCTGATTCATATTTTAAAAATGTTATATACAGTTGTGGCAGAATCAGTTACTAGATATGCCCCTCGATATGCCCTATCTATATGGGGCGGATCATTTCCCATTTCTCTTTCTACTTTGAACGTTACTCAAAGTTATCTGCTAAGGGTTATTTTTAGAAAACATCCTAGATATTTTACCGTACTCCTATACGAAGAAACAAACATCTTTAAGATACAGGAACTATATAATTATATGCTATTTGTATAGAAGACTCCTAAATTAAGACAGACAATAGTACACTCAGATCACTACACTAGGAGGAGAGCTGCTAATGATGTTAACGTTCCTTTTCTGACAAGAACAACTACACAAAGGTTTCTGACGTACTTTGGTCCGAAACTTTTTAACTAACTCCCGACTGATATTGAACGAGTACAAAACAGGCATATTTTTAGTGGAAGGATTAACAAGTTGCTCCTGGAAAAATTTGAAGTTTTTGCCTCCGTTTTGGTAATGGTGTGCAGTCAATCATAGCTGTATGTAAGTTTAGAGTGGGGCAGATTATTAATGAATACTTGTATCTTACTTTCTTATATTGATGGAACCGAGGATGGAACTTATCCTGACAATTCGGATACGAGTCAATCATTTTAGAGCAGTATAAGCTCGAGTATAAGATATTTGGTCTACATTGCTTTCAAGCTTCTTTTTGTTCCAATAGGTGACAGTTAATATATTTATATCTATTTGTTTCTTGCTGTACACACACAGATATTGTATCTAGGTGTACAGTGTTTTTCTTTTGTAGGTATAGGTATGATATATCTGTGAATCCACCTATTAATTGATTTGATTTGATTTGAATTTCGGTATAGTATTGCAGCAGTAATTTCTAAATAGCTCACAATGTCTTGCAATAAAATGCAATACCTTGTAATAGTTCACAATACTTTGCAGTAGTCTACAATAATTTGCAATGTTCCACAATACTCTTGCAATTGTCTACTCGTGTGATTAGAACGACTCGGTCTACGACCTCGTCGTTCTAATACTTCACACTAGTTATTGTAATCAAAAACATAAACGCACTTGTAATGTGAATAACCATTATTAAATTGAACCAAAATCAAAGTACCCCTGCTCTTATTGACCCTTTAATTTAAAAAAAAAAATACTATCCGGCAAAGGCCATATCACAAATATATCTGATTATGTACCTAGATAAAATGCTTAGAAATTTAAAAACTCACTTTAGGAATCTACAAATACATATTTTTATAATATCTATGTATCTACTTACGATTTATGTTCAGATAATAATAATTTTTTGGCCAAAATTCAAATTTCATGGACAAAATCAAAACAAAACAACAGTTAACATAACCCTATTTAATATTTTTTTGTCAGTTCAGTTTTGCACACTAGCGCCATCTAGTTACAAAACCTAGAATATAAAGCCTTTTCCCTTACAGCTTTCTTTAGTACAAAGCAAATTATTGCAAACCTCCACAAATCTCAGAACAGAAGCTCTCAGAACCGACAGAACCAAGAAATCTGAGAATCAAGCCAGCCCTAAGACTATATAATGAATAGAGATATTTTCTCTATCTCTATATTGACGTCCCATCTCTATTGATTTCGAAAAGAGAAAAGACAGCAAGTGCCATA